CAAAGAAATAATATAAGAAAAATTTCCAGAACTCAAGGTTACTACTTAGTTCAGCAGTGAAGAATATGTCCACATTCACTATTAAGTTCAATAGTGTCATAAATCATGTCACATTCTTATGAGCAGGATGAAGGGAGGAGAAGCAAGGGTGGGTGGTTCTGCAGGAAAGTTCAATCTTCATCTATCCTAAGACGTCAACAGGAGTCTAAAATTGGTAGAACAAGAAATAATATAAAGAGAAATGGGAACTATAAAGGATTGAAAGAGGTTTCTAGAGAGGGGCACTGAAAAAAAGGTGGGGCTGGAACTTTTATTATGAGCTGTTTACTACAATTGATATCTAAACCATATGTCTACCATATATTTTTAAAGTTTTATATTGTTTTTGGTTGACATATTATAATTGTACATATTTATGTAATATAGTGTGACATATCTGTCCCCAAAGTTGCCACACATAGCAGGTATATTTTGTGAGATTTTATATTTTGTAAATAAAGGTACATTTAGCTACAATTTCCCATTTTTCTGTGTGGTGGCTTTGGAATACCCTGTATATTGAGTAATGATTAAATAAGGGTAATGAGTACATCCATTACCTTAAACACTTTCCAGGTGTGATGGCTCACGCCTGTAATCCTAGCACTTTGGGAGGCCAGGGCCAGTGGATTGCTTAAGCTCACGAGTTCAAGACCAGCCTGAACAAAAGCAATACCCCATCTCTACTAAAAATAGAGGGAACAGGATCACTTGAGCCTGAGATGGAGGTTGCTGTGACCTATAACGCCACGGCACTCTACCCAGGGCAACAGCTTGAACCTCTGTCTCAAAAAAACAAACAAAAAAACAGGCTGGGCGCCTATAATTCAAGCAGCTAAGACGCCAGCCACATACACCGGAGCTGGTGGGTTCGAATCCAGCCTGGGCCCACCAAACAACAATGCCAACTACAACCGAAAAATAGCCAGGTGTTGTGGCGGGCACCTGTAATCCCACCTACTTGGGAAGCTGAGGCAAGAGAATCACTTAAGCCCAAGAGTTGGAGGTTGCTGTGAGCTGTGACGCCATGGTACTCTATCCAGGGCTACAGCTTAAGACTGTCTCAAAAAAACAAAACAAAGAAACACTTGCCATTTCTTTGTGGTAACAACATTTTTCAAAATCCTCTCTTCAAACTATTTGAATGTGTGTTATAATTCTGATAAATTTTTAAAATATAAATTAATTTTAAATGGGCACAATAAAAATTGCAGTGTGATTAGATCAAATTTAACTGCTTGGAAAATTCACTTACACAGACAAGCCATGCCCCAAGAATTCTCAGTGAGCTGGGTGTGGTGGTATATCCCAGCTACTCCGCTGAAGCAGGTGGATAGCTCGATCCCCATCAAGCCTAAGCAACATAGGGAGGCACCATCTCAAAAAAAAAGAAAAGAAAAGACTGCTCAATGAACTGTCATGGGTGCGCATAAACCTCATTAATGTGGAAGGGTTTCTGCTGAAGTCACTGGCTAGGAAGGCAGTTGGTGGGATGGGGGTAGGAATAGGAGTCTGGCGGCTAGTCACTGTGTCCCTTTCCCAGAAGGCTGTATTTGCTTGGAAGACCCTGCTCTTGGGTGTGGACCCTATTGGGTTGCCAAAGGAGAGATGCTAATCCTTTCAGGATGACTTCTGGGAATTCACTAGGATTCTCTGCCTTTCCCACTCAGGACATGGACAAAAATGCTGGGTTTACTAAAGGTAGATGGGCCAGACCCAGGGCTAGAGCCACAGGGCCCCTACCTGGGTATGCCAAAGTCTGGTGGTCTCAGTAGCTTAAAGAGGCTACACACATCCATTACCCTCTGAAGCTGGGACAGATAAGCCTTAGGTTACCATATCTCTTGCCAGTAATGGGGGATGGGGAGACACACACCTGCTTCCTTTGGGACCAGGCTTTGGGTCTGACCTCCCTTCTTTTTCTTCACTCATTATTCTGAGTAGCTGGGACTATAGGCACCCGCCACAATACCTGGCTATCTTTAGAGACAGGGTATTGCTCTGGCTCAGGCTGGTCTTGAACCCATGAACTCAGGCAATCCACCTGCCTCATCCTCCTAGAGTGCTAGGATTACAGGCATGAATCACTGTGCTCAGCCTTTTTAAAGAACTTTTTAAATGGTAACTTACTTTTTTTTTTTTTTGCTATACCATCATTATGTAAGTACTATGTATTCCTTGTAGAAACAGGAGAAAAAATCTCAAAACCACCCATGATTCCACCAGTCAAAATCTGCACTCTTGGTCTAAGAATTTACACAAGTAAAAATTCTGTCATTCCGTGCTCCGTCCCAGCACCCATCTGTTGAACTATCACCCACACCAGCTGTGCTGGGGCCTTTACGTGTGTTCATCTCACCAACTTCCTTCAACTCCATTATGCCTGTTTTATAGGCTCAGGGACATCACATTACTTGCCTGAGTTCCCAGATTGGTTAAGAGATTCCTCTGGATTTCAACTCTTCATTCAGCCTGAGTCCAAAGCTACTTTGTGTGTTTTGTAACATTTTTTCATTTTTCTTTTTTTAAGAAGGATATATCCGAATATCTCTCTTGTTAATAAATACACATCTACATCATTCGCCTAATGACATTCTCTTTCATGGATGTGTCAATTCTGAATAACCCATTCCTTTTTTTTTTTTGCAGTTTTGGCTGGGGCTGGGCTCAAACCCGCCACTCCCGGTATATGGGACTGGCTCCCTACTCCTTGAGCCACAGGCGTCGCCCACAAATTCCTTTTTGTTGGGCTTTCAGATGTTTCCTTTTTTTTCTGTTATAGTCAATGCAGTTATACATATCTTTGAACATATACCTTTACACAAGTGTGATTATTTTCCTGAAATAAATTCTGGAAAGTAGAATCACTTGATCAAAGGCTGGACACATTTTTAAAAGCTACCCCTTTCCCAGTCACATCAGCAGTACACACATGTCCACACACGTTCTCCCACATCAATTATTTGAGAGTATTTCCAATTTTAAAAATTTGGATTGAGATTTAACACAGAATCATAGAAACTCTATGCTAGAAGGATTCTCGTATATTCCTCTTGATCCAAAACTAAACCAGCCTTGCTAAAAACCAAAGCCCTAGACACTTTTTTTTTCTTTCTGAATAAAAGAGTCTCACTCTGTCACCCTGGGTAGAAAGAATGCCATGGTATCATCATAGCTCACAGCCACACTGGTCTTTTGGGCTCAAGTAATCCTCTTGCCTCAGCCTGCTGAATAGCTTGGACTACAGGTACCCAGCTACTTTTTCTATTTTTAGTAAAGATGGGGTCTCACTCTTGCTTAGGCTAATCTCAAACTCCTGAACTCAAGTGATCCACTCACCTAGGCCTCCCAGAATGCTAGAATTACAGGCATGAGCCACCGCTCCCGGCCCAAAGCCCTAGACACTTTGCCAAAGTCTGGCATGACCTCACCTAGGCCAGGCAGAGCCTATGAGGAAGTGAAGAAGGGGAGGTCTGGAGGAGGGTAGGGAAGGCAGAGCAGGAGGGCCAGGCTGAGGGCCCCAACGGGGCCATGTTTTCCCAAGGGAATTACTGTTTTCCTGGGTCTAAAGACCTCACAGCCATCTCTGATGATGCTGAGCTGTCCTCACTGTCCCCAGGGTTCTCACTCTGTTCAGAAAGTCCAGCCTTCATTTTATCCAGCTGCCAACACTTTGAGCACCCTGGTCCAGGGCCTTTTAAGTTGGGAAGTCCCAAACTAAACACAGCCTTTTTGTTCTCTTACCTTAAAGTTGTCTTCCTCTAATAGGCTGTAAACTCTGACACCTGCAGAAAAAAAGGGAAATAAGTGACTGAGGCAGAACACTGAGGATGGATCTCTAAACAAAGCAAGCCTGGATGGAAGTTGAGTGAGCAGAGCTCTTTGGTGGTGAAGTGGTAAGTTCTTCAAAAGACACTGAGGTGTGGGTTGGCTGCTTGATGGTCCAAGGCAGACACAGGCATCAAGGCTTCCACCAGGGCATTCTCCAGTGAGAGAAAGTCTTGCTCTCTTAGTCTGTTAATGCTCCTCTGCTGGAAGAAACCTCAGTGCTCTTTCTACCTTGTCTCAAAGCCTTGTATAAACAGTAAGTGGTCCCTTTACTCATTTCCATTGATATATTTACTGAGCACCTACTAAATGCCAGGCATTGTCAAAGGGCTCTGGGAATACAACACAGGGCTTGCAGACTGCTGGGGGAGACCAAAGACTAACAAAATAAATAAATTAAAAATATAGTAGTCAGAAGTGGTGTTATGGAGAAAAAATAAAGCAGGAGAAGTGGGTAGGGAGTGTTGGGGCAGGAGGTAGGAAGGAGTGTTGAAATTCAAAAATTGTGGCTCGGCGCCTGTGGCTCAAGCAGCTAAGGCGCCAGCCACATACACCTAAGGTGGCGGGT